TTACAGCGTCCCTTGTGGCCAAATTTTGCAGAATTCTTGTCCATTTTTTTTTAAAAGGTTTTAGTCCAAGTTAGTTTGAAATTTTATTTTGAAAAGATACCTCCTTGGTTGCCATGTTTCTGAGTAAAAGATCGTTCCATTTTAAATTAAAGTACCGTTATATTTTTAAAGTAGGAACAGGATGCTGGCCATGGCACAATACTCACCTTGTTAGACTTTTCTCGCGCCTTCGATTGCATAAATACGCAACTGCTACTGTCGAAACTTAAATATTACGGTTTATCACCACTCGCTGTCAAATGGTTCCACAGTTATCTCTCCGATCGGCGTCAGACGGTCAAACTAGTGAATGAGAATGGAAAATTTTCGTTTTCGAGTTCTGAGCCCGTTACGCGTGGAGTACCACAAGGCTCTATTCTTGGACCGCTGCTATTCATTATCTATTGTGCTGATCTCATCCACCAGATACACCATTGCAATTACCACTGTTACGCGGACGATATTCAACTTTATATTTCTGCTCGGCCTGAGAACATCCATGAGGCTGTTAAATTAATGAACCTCGATCTCGACGCAGTTGCAGATTGGGCCGAGCAGAATCATTTGAATCTCAACCATGCTAAATCTAAGTTTATGGTGATCGGTTCCAAAGCACAAGTACGTAAAATTCACTTATTGAATCCTCAAGTTTCCATCTCAGGTAAAGTTCTCGAGCACGTTGTTGAGGTTCGAAATCTAGGTATCACTTTTGATGGTGAGCTGCGCTTCGAGTCGCATGCGTTGGAGCTGGTGAAAACTTGTATGTTTCGTTTGAGGGTGCTGTATAAGATTCGTAACTTGCTTTGCGAGGGCGTTCGGGTTACTCTATGTGAATCCCTAATACTCTCCAAATTGAATTATGGTGACGTAGTTATTGGACCGCGATTGCTTGCGAGAACTCAGCGTATGGTACAACGCGTTCAGAACGCTTGTTACAGATTCTGCTTCAATGTCCCTCCGCGTAGTCATATCTCTCCTTATTTAAATTCTGCATCTATACTTAACATGGAATCTCGCAGGCAGGTGCATCTCGCGTCTCTTGTGTTTGACATAATAAAGTATAAAACTCCGGAATACTTATTCAATAAACTTAAATTCTCGTCATACCAAGAGAATGCCCGAGTTACCCGTAAGCCTCTGGAGAGCACTATTCACAGAACTGCGGCTTTCCGTGGCAGCTTCCGCTTCCAGGCTACCAAATGTTGGAACGATTTGCCTCCACCTATGAGAAAACTGGCTTCCAAAGTCACTTTTAAAAAGCAGATAAAAATATACTTTTTAGAAATCCAAAAATTAGACATCCCCAAGTTTTATGTGTGGCAGGGCAGGTAGCCTTGTTTTCCAAACAGTTTCCGGATACTACTTTTGTATATACTTTAAATAAATCATGTGTAATTATAGTTATTATATATATGTATGATATCATCTAATTTTATCTCGCCAACAATCACTTCATTATTTGTCTCAATATTATAGTAAATATGTGTTTGTCTCCACTGCATTGTCATGGCTGTTTTCTCTTTTCTCCTTGCAAAATCTTTTAATATTTATTATTAATAAAGCTAGTCTACTCACTCATAAAGGTGATGGCTGAAAATCGGTATTTTGCCTTAAAACTGGCAAATGTTTAGCCGAGCCTTGGCCTTTTGCTTTCTGCAGCATACATATAGATATTTCATAACTGATTTCTTGTATCTTTTTTTTTTATTGTATTACTCTGTCTGTAAATGTATATGTATGTTGAAGAAAAAAAATAAACGCATTATCTATCTATCTATCTATCTAACAGTCTTGTAACTCTATAACTTTATATCTGTTGAGTAAACTCATATCGTGTGGGGAACGCCAATAAAATTACATAGTAAACTTACTATGTAATTTATTTGGCAGCTGATAACAACAGATGGATTTTCATACAACTTTTGCCGGTTGTGACTTTTTGATACCATTGCGTTCATTACCTACTGAAAAAAAGCACAAACAAGCTTTTAATAATAATAAATATTCTTTATTGCACACAACAAAGGACACAAGATAAAAAACAAATAAAACAGAAGAAAGAGTACAATTTAAGGCGGCCTTATTGCTAAACAGCAATCTCTTCCAGGCAACCTATGGTAGAAATGGAATAATAATAGAGAAGTATAGAAGGGTGCAAAAGTAGATACAGGAGCTATACTTACATAAATATAAGAGAAGCAAAGAAATAGGATATTAAATGAATTTCAGATAAAGAAAGGAAATAACTTTTAACTTGATCGCTAAAGGAATTAAGCGAACGAGCCTTTCTGATACCCTCAGGAAGTGAATTCCAAAGTCGAGCAGCGTACACAGAAAAAGAGTAAGAAAAGAAGTCAGAAGAGTGACAGGGAATCTCACGAAGTAGGTTAGAAGAGGATCTCAGTGAGAGAGCTGTGAAGAAGAGGATAGAAATGAGCAACACTGCTTAAGATAAGGTAGGGAAGATGGCAGGAAAAGTATAGAATAGAGAACCGTTAGAGTGTGTAGATCTCTGCGCCGGCGAATAGGGAGCCAATTAAGTTTATTACGGAAGTGAGACACGTGGTAGAATTTACGGAGATTATAAATGAACCTGATACAAACATTCTGCAGTCGCTCTAATTTATTGAGGAGTTCCTCCGACAGATCGGTGTAGCAAACGTCAGCGTAGTCGATGATGGACAACAACAGAGAATTTGCCAAGTTGATTTTGGTGCTGATCGGCAAAAAGTTCCGCAACCGACTAAGGGAACCATAAGCAGCAAACACCTTTTTTCTGACCACCTCCACCTGAGGTTTCCAGGTGAAACTCTGGTCAAAGACAACACCCAAGTTTCTGACGGTTTCTGAGTAGGGAATAATAGAACCGTTCAAAATAATGCAAGGCAAATGATTAAAGTCGATCCTGGAAATAAAATAAGGACTACCAATTATGATGGATTGAGTTTTTTCCGGATTTAAGGTAAGACCAAATGACTCATTCCAACTACTTATAAGCGACAAATTTGTGTTGATATCAGAAATTGCGCTAGAGAGGTCAGATAAAGGGGCCCGAGTGTATTATCAGCATAAAGGTGATATGAACATGAAAGTGACAGTGTGATAGAGTTTATAAAGATAGAAAATAGAAGAGGAGATAGGACGCCACCCTGAGGAACACCGGCATTGATATCACACCATGAAGACAAGGTGTTGTCAATACGGATACGCTGTCGGCGGCCTAGCAGGTAACTTCGAAACCATTCAATTGCGGATGGGGATATGCTAAGTGAACCCAAAACGCCTAAAAGGATGTCAAAGTCGACCGAGTTGAAGGCGTTGCTAAAATCAAGCAGCGTCAACAACGTAAGTTGCCGCTTATCCATTCCTCGGCGGATATCGTCCGAAATATTAACCAGTGTACTGTGGCCCCTATGAAAGCCAGACTGAAAAAGAGTTGAAGAGGTGGTTCGAATTGAGAAAGGCCGTGAGCTGCCGGGATATTAATTTTTCAAGGACTTTTGATAAAAACGGAAGAATGGATATGGGACGGTATTCCGAAAAAGAGGTGGGACTTGATTTTTTGGGCAGAGGAATCACATTGGCGTCTTTCCAGGAAGAAGGAAAAACTCCAGTAGAAACTGAAGTATTTGAAGCTTTTGTTCTGTAATCTGAGTATTTGCGAGCTTCCAGGTGAAACTCTGTACCTCAAACAACAAAATACGTAAAAACCCTACGGGTACGGCCACAGTGCACTCAGATTCAGACTCAGAAAACAAGCGCGAGAAATAAACAGTGTAGTTTAAGCAGGTTGCCTGCTGCCACTATGGCCACCCTGCTTAAACTACACTGTTTATTTCTCGCGCTTGTTTTCTGAGTCTGAATCTGAGTGCACTCTGGCCGTACCCTAAGGCTTGTGTTCGAACCCTGAGGTATTCCGGATCTGAGCGTAAACTGCACAGATTCATATTGTGTCTTGACGATTTGATTTCGATTGCCTACTCATTATGAAGTGAAGCAACACAGAATCGAGCAGAATATGCCAAAGAACAGACTAGCTGTTTGTCGCGTAGGTGAGTAATGCATATCAACAGTACTGTTCATGTGCTAGAGGTAAAAAAAATTAATTTCAGGCTCATTATAATCTGTATTAAATGTCTTGGTTATTTAAACTGCGTTTGTCTACTGGAAATTATTTGCTGGATCTTAGGTGATTAGTAGGTGCCTTACTTTGGAGGTACACACAAAAAAATAACACTTCGTAAAATAAAATACTTTATTTAAGCACACATAATATTATGTGTTGTATGCTAATTGCATAAGTAATTCTAAATAAATAGTTCTTAAAAATAACATTATCATCAACATAAAATAAAAAAAGTTTACAAAAATTTCATTTTGCTTGCGATTTCTTAATTAATAATACGTAAGATTATTCGAGCTTATAGTATGTATAACTCTGAAGAATGATTAATATTATCGTATGCACTATATTAATGTTTCCAATAATATTATAACGAGATAAATATTTGAATACATTAATCTATATTCTAATATTGATAGAGTTGGTGCACCATCATATTTGTAAAATGATGTATACTGCCTACTTTTATTGGAAGGTTCTTTCTTTACTTAAGATTTCGTTAAATTTAGGTTTAACGGCTGTTAATGTTAGTGACAGTTCACTGCAACATTCCGTAAGCTGTATACAAAAGCCTTACATATAAATTAGACAAAACTGTATACATACTGCGAGCGTTTTGATTTTTAGTGTAAAAAGCACCAAAATGTTAAGGATAATTACTGATGTTACACTAAAGAAGAGAGGAATATAACGTATATGCATTGATTATTTACATCTTCCTATTTCATTCTTAAATACACTTAAACGAGAAGTAGTAATTCATATCAACAGTAACTGTTGCTACTCAATGACTAGTATATATGCATACATGTTTACTAATATTTTATTGAATATAATTTTACTTTTGACCATGACAGTTCTTTTTAATATACTGAAATATAAGATTATATACAATTAATATAAAACACAGGATTGCTGCATGATAATGTATTGGCATATTATATATAGCTCTCAGGACTCCTTGATTTTCCTTGACACTGTTTATTTTGATAATGTTCTTTGAAACTATTTCGTCAGTGGGCTTTGCAGAGATATCTGGATTATGCGTTACTTCTGACACAGTCTGATAAGTATTTACTTTTCTTTCAACTTGATAACTACCAAAAGATTCCATAGTGTATGTTTCCTCCTTGGTTTCACGTTTTAATGTTTCTTTACTTTCCAAAGTGGTGTCTCCTTCTAACTTAACATGTATGGGAGTGATCAGTTTTCTATCTTCACTTGGTAAACATGCATCTAAACTTTCTTGTAAATAAGTATCAATTTTCGTCATTTGTTTAGGAACTAAGAAGTTAGCCAGCGGGCTGTGAGACCTTTTCAGCGGCTCATAAGCAACTAGATGATCAAAACTTTTCTCTTTTATCTTTGCTATATCGGTTTCAAACTGTTTCTCCTTACACAATTGTTCAGGAACTAGGAAGTTAGTCAGCGGGCTGTGAGACCGTTTCAGTGGCTCAGAAGCAACCATATGATCAAAACTTTTCTCCTTGATCTTTGTTATATCGGTTTCGAACTGTTTCTCCTTACACAAAGAACTTACAATCTTATAGCTCTGTAAATCTTCATAATCATCTTTTAAGTACTCCACTGGAGTCTTGGTTTTGCTTACGTGAAATTGTGACGGAGTGAGTAATCGAGGAGAGTCTATTTCAGGTGGAACGGGTGTGAATTTAACCTTTATTACATCTTCGTTGGTAATCGTTTCAGTTTTAACGACATCGTTAACGTAATCTCTGTTACCGTGTGATCCGATACTCTCAAAGACACTAGGAGAATCTGTGATATCATGGCGCGTTGAACTGTGTAGTCGATCAACGGTGACTTTGCTGAGTAACTTTCCATCTTTACTTCTTATGTCGGAAAACAGCCCTCCATCGAAGTGGAGGGGCGTTTCCAACTTCCTCGTCCGTTGTGGTGAAGGCGTTTCAGGAGCTGGCGGAGTTATGGGAGAAGGAGACACGGGACGGAAAGTAGTGGTCGAATAAACAGTGTCGGAATTGTAGATTATTTGTGGTGGACTAGCGGGCATGCATCTTACAGAAAGGCCGACCTCCCTTGGCGAAGAAACTCTGTCCTTCGAGGTTCTTTTTGCACACCTGAAATCGATAATATACATTAACGACATTCCCCTAATGTACATAGTTCTAAATAATGTCAACTCTGATATCAGTTTTTGAGTTTCTGCAGAGTAACAGTGACCTACACACATCAAAAAAAGTTTGCGATCACTTTGAAAAATATATTGTTTTTTGTGTTACAGAAGACTTTTTTGTAATTTCTTTTTCTGATAAGATTCTTAATTTTAAAATTAGAATTAGAACGTAAAACAATAAAATAATTCAACTATTTTTCCATGTAAAAGGACATGCAATCCTAGCCGACACTCATTCAGAAATCTGACTTAGTCAATATTATCGAATTTAAATATTTATTCACGGAAAGTTGTGATTTAAAAATGCCAAGAGGATTATCAGATGTTTTACGAGCTAGAATTGTAACTTTGAGGGAAGAAGACTATTCTACAAGAGAAATAGCACGCAGAGTTGCCATATCCCAATCCTGTGTAGTAACCACGTTGCAGAGGTACCACGGCATGGGTAATTAAGCAATCGACCCCGCAGCGGTCGCCCAACTGTTTTGACAGCTGCTTAGAAGCGTTATATCAGGTTGCTGGTAGCCCGCGACTCAACAATAAACGCCACTAAATTAAAAGTTAGCACTCAGACCATTCGGGATTGGACAAGGCTGGATTACGAGCACGCAGGACTTGGCGAGCACCTTTGAATTCACGGGAACGTCAGCGACGGAGATTACAGTCGGCTAGGCTCCGTAAAAAGGAAGAAGACGAAGAGGAAAACATTTGGCAAAACTGCCTCTTCGTTGACGAATCGCGAATCAGTACTCATCCAGATAACCGATGTGACCGTGTTTGGAGAAGACCTGGAAACTCTGAAAGGCAAAGAACGGCCAATGGAACGATTCAGCAAGGCGGGACGATTCCATCAATAGCGACTGTTTTGTATCTATCTACAAAACAGTCGCTATTGATGGAATCGTCAGACCTTTCCGATTAAACCATGGGCACCAATTTGTACTGGTTGACGATAATGCGCCCGCACATCGAGCTCAACGAGGCAATGCTGCTCTCCGAGAAAACGAAATCACAAGGTTAGACTGGCTTGCCGGCTCTCTTGACTTAAACCCAATAGAGCACGCGTGAGATGCTCTTAAGCGAGCTGTTTGGGACCGTCAGCCACCACCCCAGACAGTGCCTCAGCTCAGGGAAGCTGCTGTTCAAGAATGGGACAGGTTACCACAAGAAATGCTGGATAACTAGATCCTCAGTATGCCCAGGAGGATCTCCGCATGTGTTCGAGCCAAAGGGGGAGTTATTTTGTATTAGATAAACAACAATTTATTAATAAAAGGATTTTAAGTTCAGTTAAACTATCTTTTTATTTCTATCAAAGTTCTATTACTATCGCCTTAGGAATGAATTATTAAATTTTTTATATTAAAAAATAAAATTAGTTTTATTTTTTATTTTCAGAAAGTGTATTTATTTGTAAATAAAAAAAGATCTAACGTAAACATTTTCTTTTGATTAAGTTAAATTTTGAAAATATATCAGCTTTTGTAAGTGATCTCAAACTTTTTTTGATGTGTAAATTTTTTCGCCTGCATTCAGAAATGTGAATTAACTTTTATCTTTGATTGTAGTTGATGCTTTGACTATCACTTTCTTTATGATAACACTAGATTAGGGATAACACGTAATTTAATAAAGCTTTAAATTAATTGTTGTCTTTTAGATCGGTTGTATTTAAATGTTAATTTATTGGAGAAACATTATTTTGAGTAGTAGATGTAGTGATAAAATATTGAAATATAAAACGATATTTTAAGATTTGATAGACCTACTACTACTGCTGATGTTTTGTGGTAGGTATACATTTGTGATCGGAAATACACTAAATATGCTGGTTTAACTTAGGCAACTTTTTCGCGATGACGTATTACGTCGATCAGTTGATCGCATTTGCAAACTTAACTGAAGATTAATCTGATAGCATAATCTGTGATGTTACTGATGCTGATTTTGTTACAATAACGTGTTAAATATTTGAATTTAGGTAATAGTTTCTTATGCTTTCTTTCAATCAAGAAAGACTCTTGGACCTGAAGAGATCGCGCGTTTAATGATCGCCCAAGTTCTATGTTCTTCTGTCATGAATTAAACATTAGATTGTGGTTGGGGGTATACCGAAAATCAACTCCTTGTATGAATGTATTAATTAACCATCCATGGCTTGATCCGAATGATAGCAATATTCATCAAATGACATAATATTATTTGTACAAAAGTGAAATCACTTGTCTGAATTTGATTATCTGGCTTAAAATATCTCTAATAAAAAAATTCAGTTCATATTTATAATAAATCTGAGCGCTGAGAGCTAGTCCTTGACTTACTTTATAAATGGAATTTTTCGATCAATAAAGATAAGTAAAAAGTATTTCTTAAGTTTCATCTGGTACAAAAATAAACGTTAACTTTAAGTTTAAACTCGCACTGAGCACCCAGGTTTACTATAATAAAAATATCATAATTTAATTTAGTAAAATATATATAGGTAATTACTAAACAATCTATTTATTATTGTCCAAGTACATAAAATAGCCAAAACAGTTCTACTCAAGTATGTAGTTATTAGGAGATCAAGCATTCTGTCAAGCACATACGCTATAAACAATACACTTTATTGTAATGGAATATTTACAACAATAAAAATGTATGTAATCTATCTACTGCTTCCTGATTTGTTGGAAGTTTAGGGATTTCGGGAAATTAATAATAAGTATAAATACTCATCCATAATTAAAATATACAATAACAATATTAAATGTATTGGGTAACACTCTGACAACACACCACTCGTTTGTTAATTTGGGGGATATTAACACAGTTGTGGCAGCGTATGACGAGCTTCGTACTAATAATGTGGTTTTTGTGAATTTTGTGTACCTTTCACGTGAAATCATGACTAAAAATGAAACTGAATCACTACAATGACTCTTAATATGTTTATTACGAATGAAAACCAAAATTAAATATTTATTTATATTGTGTAGTAAATGATATAATGCAATTTTGAATGTCCATGTAGGAGGGAGTGTCAACGCGTCAAACTCATTTTACAAGGTTACTTTTGAAGAGAGAACTTTAGTTTTGACTATTTCACGTTCTTTTTACATTATAAAGGGTTAAATGAATTTGTAATAAAAAGACTGGAAAGGAGAATATTTTCAAAGAGTAGTATTTAAAAGTGTTCGATTTATTTAGTAAGGCTCGCATCATACGCACCGTGCAGTTGAAGCACTGACTGTGGTAGTTATTGTTGAGCGCCTCGACCCACCTGTCGCCCGCCTCCACGGGGAAGCCGCAAGCGTAACATTTCGTCGTGAACAGCTCATTCCAGTCTGCGAAAATGTTCAAACATCTTTGTAACACACAAAATATCAATCAATAAAAGCAGAATCTATCATTTTAGCTCATTACAGACGACAGTCTATTTGCAGATGGGAAAGCTAACGATTTTTATTTTATAAGCGGACAAGTTAAACTTCATTCGCTCAGAAATAAAGATCATGTCGTAGACCGAAAACTGGCTAAGTTTGCACAAAAACACTGTCGGGCTGTGATGGGCTCAACTTGTATCAGCAGAATGTACTTACCTGCTTCACAGTATGGCAAACCATCTTCTAGGAAGAATGGATTGTTACCGAACAACTTTCCACAGTAAACGCAGTTGAAGCATTCCGGATGGAAATGCTTTCCTATTGCATTCAAACAGTCCTGGAAAATTTAAAAATTTAGCACATTAGTTTTCCGCTTCAGTATAAATACATATTAATTTATGGTAGACTTTTATAAAAGTTGGTAAAACACCTAGCGCCTTAAAAGCTTTTTAGTTAAACACTGATAAATCTATATAGGTAATACAAACAGATGTTTTGCTCATGCCATTCATCAGTCAGTATGCTGCTATATTGCCACCAGGCAACCTGTATCTTATTCGTATCTTTGTCTAGACAAAAATATCACGTGTGTGTTAAAACCTATAAGTATGGGCTCCAGTAGTTATTAAGTCTTTTTTGGAGAACTTTTATTATTGATAACGACATAATTATATTTATATGTCGCTACTTTGTGAAATGCTGATAAGTTGCTTGCGCCCATTCTTCTTATCAGCCAAAATATGTCTTGACATGGGTATTGGTGGTGGGAAAAATAATAAAAATCAATCTCAATTTGAATTTTCATTTCACTTAGTAACATAATTCGCAATGGTTTGTGTGAATTTTAATAAGGCTCATCTTAGGTACTTACGCCTTTTATCTTAGCGTGACACTTGTCACATGCTGGTGCAATGTACTGTTCGAAACAGTATTCGCAGTACAGTTGTCCGTTCTCTTCAACGAAGCCAATGTCCTGGAGAGGACGTCTGCAGGAAGCATTCACGCAGATAAAATGCTCTGGGCACCAAATGCGACCCAAAGCCGTGATAAATGGTCCCCTGTTCAGAAATGACATACAATCGATTAGACAACGGGATAGTTAAACAAGGTCAATAAAAAATTGTTATAGAATTTCGTCTGTAATAAATAAAGTTATTGTGTTAATGATTATTTAAAATAAAAACAACATACGTGCAAACTTCAAAACACACTCGGAAACATTAAAACTTACTTGAACTTTATTGAATGGAATTAAGGTAATAAATAAAACATATTGTTACCTGGTTATTGTTTTGTCGCATATGTGACAAACTGGTATAAGGCCTTCAGATGCGTTTGTTGAAGTCATTGTACTTAGTGGGCGTGCTATAATATGAGAATCTCTTCTACCATCATCATTTTTCTGATGTTTTTTCGGTCTGCGCTTGACTATTAAACCTGAATCTGTATTGTCTATATCTTCATTACCGTTGACGGTTGTTGTTATTTCATTTTGGGACTCTGCTTTTCCGTTAATATAGTCATGCTGGGTATTTATTTCGTTATTAACAGCTTTGAATGTATAAAGTGTATTGTCATACAAATTGCTTGGAAGACTTGATTTTGACTGTTCGTCATCTTGAAACGTATTTTTAAGATTGCTCACATCTGTTTTGTCAGTAATAATTTTATTGGACAAATTGAGATCGGTTACATTATTCTTATCGACAAATTTATTCGGAATATTGTCTATAGAGTTGTTCGACCCATTTAAAGTCTCTCGATTTTCAAATATTTTTTTCTTTTTCAGAGTGTTATTATCCAATTTTATCTCCTGTTTGTTATTAAATATATCATTATGTTTATAAATGTCATTTTTAGTAGCATTCATCCCATTAAGAAACGAAGTTTTATCTAAACCTGCATTTTTTCGTAGTGTGTTAGTGAAAAAACTAGTCTCATTATTGTCTTTATTAAATTCCTCATTGTCAAAGAGTCCACTTCCGTTCAAAGATTTTTCAAAACTGTCCGAGGTATAATTAGAGTTTAGATTTTTTGGGTTAAAATCTGAAGGCCTTTTATTGTTTAATAGGGGTGCAACTGGTGTGCTGTGAGCGTTAAATGTTGGTATTGGAGATTTTGGGATTGGTGGTGGTGGTGGAGCAGGCAAATTACCGTTAGCAGAATTTATTGTCATAGGATGGTTATTTATTATCGTGTCTTTGATTTTGTCTCCTAAACTAGAAATGCTATCTTGGGACCTATTCCCTTTGTCAAACGATTTATTTAATGGCCTCTTTAAGGTATTATCATTACTACTTTCTCCCGACGATGACACGCCATCTGCATTCAAAGGATGCTTGGTAACTACAGTGTCTTGAATTTTGTCTGCCATCGATTGAATATGATCAGCTGGCTTGATTTTTCTCTGAATCCCGATTTCGTAACCATTCAGAGCCATTTTCGCCATTTTCCGTATAAGTCGTTCTTCAGCTGGACTTTTAAAATCCGTTTTAGAAGGACTGCTCACAGACTGCAAATCTACAACTGTTAGAAAAAACAAAACACTAATAAACAAACAAGTCAGGCAAAGCTTAAACAAGTTAGCAGATTATTATTTCTGTAAGTGAATTCTTATTAACTATAATATAATAAGTACAACGTCTTTTTACACAATTAAAATATTCTATCACACAAAACCTCACGCGCATGCTACACTGAACAACAACAAAATAACCATTTGTACTCGAATCACCTAATGTTGCCATTGCAGGAAGCGCAAAGAGGCACCCTAGAGCCGGGCAACGCAGCTTTGTTCAATACCCCTCGTCCACGTTTGGGTGCCGAAGAAACACCAAAAGTTTTGCCACGAGCGGCAGCTCCTACACTGGAACCTGTCGAGGGGGTAGGATCACACTCTGGACCTTGGTTAGCACCAGAAATCGAAGGATTTGGTTGACAACTTTCTATTGTTCTACTAGCATTGACCAAACTTTCATTAGTCAGGTTAAGAGATGAAACTTGCTGGGTTGCGGGCATACTCATGATAGGGGGTGGAAATACTTGCTTAGGGTTTATACTGGTTGGTCTAACATTGGAATCAATTTGGGTATATCCCGCTGATGAGGACGAGCCACCTGTTCGGATTTCTATGGTCTTCGCAGATTGAGTCCGTTCAAATTCTTCGATAGTTTTTCTAGTCGTTTGCACAGTTGTGTTGCCGTATTCTGTTACATTTTGTGATTGCATTTTTCTCTGGCCATAATTCTGATTTATCATCGAGTCTTCTTTGATGTTCATGTCTTGTTTCTTGTAACTTTCACTTTTATAGCCAATATTAGAATGTCTCTGCTCCTCGATCATAGGTTGATTCTGCGCCCAACTACTGACAGTATTCAATATTTCCCCGCTATTGATTCTCATATCTTTCTGAGACATTTCATGTTCTTTTCTTAAGTTTGAAGTAGCTTGAGTAAGAAGTGTATGGCCTGATTGACGTTGCGGAGTACTTTCTTTAAGCCGAGGTGCTTGGGCTTTTAAAGGATTTGGTGGTGGACCTTGAGCCGGAGACTTGGATCTTAATCTTGGTGTTGGCGAACGACTACCTTCCCTACTAGAAGGATCATATAAATGACATTCGGGTGCCGTATGTTCTACAGTTACTAGATTCATTTGGTAATGTGGTATTATTGGTGCAGGTTTATTTATTAAACTAGGCGTAGTCGGACGACTACTACGGGCAGGAGAAGCCCTATAAAAGTTTTCATCTGTCACAGGTTGGAAAGTCATAGAAATAGGAGTAGTTCTTTGGAATTGTGTATGAAGCGGTTGTACTGGTGTTTTCACTGATGGTTTCGAAGTAGTCGTTTCTAATGAAACACTTGACGTAAAGGACTTAGGTTCTTGTGATTTTTCTCTTGATTTCCTCGGGGGTTCTGTAGTCGGAGTTACTGGTCGTTGAAAAACTGCTGGAGCATTGCATATTTCTGGCGTAATACCTCTTTGTGATGGCAACTGTTCGAAGTGTTTCTGGTATGGTGGTATTTTATCGGGTTTTTGCAATCCAGATTTAGATCTAACAGCTGTTGAGGAAAAAGATTCTCTTTGATCTAGTGTTTCGAAAAATTGCTGGGCACTTTTTACCGACGAATAGCCTTGTGAAGCTGTACTGATGCTGCTTGTTGTTACCACTGATTGTTGAGCCACTTTCGACTCTGTTAATAACATATCTTGTTTGGTTCGTGTTGATTTTTCAAAACTAGTTTTTAATTCATCGCTAATAGGAGGAAAAGTAGCAAGTTTACAGGACTGTTCAGGTTGTGGTGGTGGAAATACTTGTTTTGCTACTGGTTTAAATGCAGACATATTTGATAACGATTGTAATTGGTGAGTGTTTTGCATAGATGAAAATTCAGAATGAAAATCATTAGTATGCTGTGTTGTAGTTTGGGTTGCAATTGGTCTAATGATTTCCGTAGAAGTAGATTGTACTTGTACTGCAGAAGTGGAGGTGTAGTGACTATAGTTGGATTGCGTTCCTGTATTTAAGGGTAATGGACTGTAAGGGCGCTCTGGAGCAATAGTTAAAGCTTCTCTAAGGGAACCTCGTTCTATATTCTGTGTTTGAATAGGTGTAAATGGTCTATTTGGTGCGGTTGTTAATGCGTCTATTAAAGGAGAAGATGTTTCTTCTCTTGGCATCCTTGGTTCAATATTTATCTTAAAATCTGGGGGTATATACGGTTTAGTCTCGGGAGGCATCGGTATAGGAGTGTCTTTACTTTCAGGAGGATTATATGGTTTAATCGGTGGGATGGGAGTTATACCGCGTTTTGTTTGTTGTGTAAACACTGGAGACGGTGCTGATGGTAATTGCACTTCCCGTTTTTCAACACTATTATTTATATTTGTTGGTATTTCAGGTTCATTAGGAACAGGAATAGGTTCAGAAATAGATTGAGCTGGATTCGATAAATTAGTAGTCAATGGTGAATAAGGCCTGTCAGGCACTATGGTTAACGCTTCAACTAATGGCATTTCTGGTCCACTGTTGATTGCTGGGGTTATTTCTTTTACATTTGTATTAAACTGTACAACTTTTTCTCCAACTGATTCCTTCTTAATATTTTTGCAAACAGTAGCAGATTCTTTTGATACAGTCCTTTCGTGGGAAGCTAAAGCATTCTCATTGAGAGTATTTTTCAAGGATTTCTCAGGAATCTCTTTTTCCTGTAATTGTTGATCTTCATTCGATTGATTTCCTTTTGCAGAAATATCGGCAACTAATGTTTCGGACATTTTATTCGAAGTATCAGAAGAAGTAACTGCGCCAAGATTTTTTTCTTCAGAAACTGGTTTATCGTTTACTTTCTCATTATTAGCTTTCGTCACAATAAGATTTGAGTTAGTATTTTGTTCATTTTCTGTAGTTGCAAACGTAGTAATTGATTCTGATTCTTTGGTGACCATGAATTCTGAAGAACTGACTGTAGTTTGGGCTTCGGTCTTTTCTTTAAATTGATCGATTTTATCGACAGGATTTTCAAAAGATTTTTGAACTGGAGGACTTGTTTGTGACTGATACATGGTCAAGCTTTGGCTTTCTGCTGAGGTTTTTGCTGATGATGATTGAAAGACATGACTACTCTGGCTTGCCTGAATTTGTTGAGAGTGCATTAAATACTTGGATTTCGAGGATGTCGTTGTAGCAGTTGACATTGTTGTCATAGCGGATGCATATGATACGTTGGAAGTATATTCAGATTTTTCTTCAGAAGATGACATATTTTGTTTGACCATTTGACATGCATTATCGGCAACTTGAGATATACACATGTCTCCAGGCATCGAAGACATTTGGTCCATAATTGTTTCAGTACATTGTATAGATTCGTTTTTGGGTAGCTCGTCATCAGGGGGATTCGGTGGGGGCCAAACGATGCTTTTCACATTTTGAGCTATTAGTTTGATAATGAGTCGGTTAAAATGGGCGAAGGAAAAGAAAATGAAAGTAAATATTAGTTAATTTGAAAAAGTTACGCGACTACATTGACTAATTGTTTAAAAAGCAAGAAGGTTAAATATCTAACATAACGTAATTGCCACTGTAGTTAAATTACACACGATATGTTGACTTTCACCAAAACGCTTGATGCCTGGATAGCAGTTATTTGATGATTGGCTTTGCTGACCGCGTAGCGCATTCTAGTTATTATGCGATTGAAATTAAGTAAAAATTATATAAATATCATAGTTTACACAAATTATTAATTATTGTACATACTAATGAATTATTAGCTACAGTAAGCTGTGCCTAGCTTATTTATAATACTTCACATTTATAAATTACCTTTAAAAAGGGACACTGGGACCTCTGTTAAAAATAAATAATGATTTTATAACATTCTTTAATACAATTTGGAATATTCTGAAGCCCTTTATATTTTTCACAACGTATTCTGAACTTGAAGCTTACATATAAATTACTTGTATATAAACTTATATAAACATAATAATTTTGAATAAAACGTATAAATTAATTATAAAATATAACTTTGCATGTAAGTTACATATGATAATACGCCTAAATAGTTGTAAAATGCTATGACAGAAAATGCTAATACCTTCACAACCTTCACACGACAACACACTAAAAATGTATGAAATGTAACTATACTAGCTGTTAATTTCTGACTCGTTTATAATGGCGCTATGCTTTGGTAGTTTTTGTGATTCTTTTTCCACAATTATATCAGATGACAGTTCTATCATTATCTGCAATAAATACAATCTGTGAGTTTAGCACAGGATGCCTGAATATTTTCTACCTTATTCATTTATTATTAACTATATTGATATTATGTTTTTATTTATTTTTAAGCTTTCAACTGCTAGATGTTTAAATCTAAAGAAAAGTTTACTAGAAAAAAAACCACGCGGACGGGACTCGAACCCGCACCCTTTGCAATCTGGGCGAATGCACTGACCATTATGCTACCACGGCCCTATTCGCCGCGTCGAATATATTGATATTACCACAGGATATTACCCACCTATTCTGGAAACACACAGACTGCATTCAGAGGATAAATATAATACCTTAACAATTAAAACTAGAGTTCTTAGTCATAACTAAGTATAGGTACATTTGCGTGAATATGATTCATTTCTTTCAACTACCTACTAAACTTGGTATTATTTATTGTTGTTCACCTAGTTCAGTAATTTCAAGACATACATATTATTATCCTTATCGATGTATTGTTGCACTATTTTGGTATGTGAAAGGGTTTTGAGTAATTTGGCTCAATGAATTAATCAACAGATGGCGTTAATGTTCAAATCATACTTGAATTTGTGAATGTTCTTTTGTTTTGTTACTCAATTACACAAAATCTGGCTAACGGATTTTCATGAAATTTGGCACATACTTTATTAGTTTAATTACGACATAGATGGAATACTTGGTATCCCTGAAAATTTGTGGTACTGCCACTTAGCGCCCTTCTTCAGAATTTGTATGAGTTGTGCAGACTTTGAACTTTATATCTGTCTATTTGATTAATTCATCGTGACAATCTATTTGAAATCGACAGTAAATTAGAATGAGGAACATTTTATTGTAATAATTTTGCATAAAAAATGTTTGTTTCTTGTGACTCCAGACGGGACTTGAAACTTTTGCTTACATCGCTTCTGCTTCTTAAACTTTTTAGGTTTTTACTTTTTTAATAGCTGGCTTTTATCAATGTTTATTCAAAGCTGTACTCTGTTCACTGAAGCAAGTTGGTGGAGCGCTTTCTTTATTACACAATCGCTTACAAAAGACAAGAATGGAAAACTTCGTCATACAACTGTCGTGGGGTCACACGACAAAGGAGACTGTCATTGGTCGGAGTAACGCTCAAAACGTCTACTATAACCCAGTCGATGACAGAAAAGCTTAGCTTGCGTCGGTTCTTGTTAATGTGAAATTAGAGTAATACGATGAGGGCGGTAATTAAAAATGCATGTAATGTTTAGCTTTAACAACTCCGAGAGAAAGAACAGACGGAAAAGAAATTTCATTAAGAAATAAGCAGTGCTTTGTACTATACTCTTGTTTCTCTTTAGTTTTGCTTATTGTATTGTGTGTGTACTAAACAGAATTAGTAAATAAATAGAGACTTATGTTTAAATGATGCCCAAAAACTAACCTATATATATTTCTAGATAAATATACTTGCATGTATTTGTATCAATACCTATGTGTTCTATCCGTTACCCTAGTAGCCCATAATACAACCGTTACAGTGCTTACATTGGGCCTAGGCTAATTGGTGTGTAAAAAACACCACAAGATTTGCTACTGTACTGTGTTTTTTTGGTGAACATTTACTATTTATTTAAGGATCATTTAAATATTTTCCATCAATAAACAAATAAAAAATTCCGTCTGGAGTCACGATAAATCTTAAATAAAACAGGATATTAAAGAGGTCATATCGCAAATGTGACTCGCTTACTCGGTGCGAAGGGTGCGACGGGCGCGAGTGTAGGCGCCGGCGCGGGCGCGGCCACGGGCGCCGCGACCGGGCGCGCCGGCGACATCGGTGCTGAGCGTGGCGACAGCGACGGCGAGTACGCCGACCCGATAGATGAGCCGAACGGCTTCGGACCAGACAGGTTGCTCGACGGCTGTTACAAATATAAGGAGGTTTTTAGGTTTCTGTCACCAGAGGATGACAAATGAACCCCATTAATGTGACTAAGTGGCTCTATATCTCTTTAATGGAAATAGATAGACACCAGAGGCCTAAGCACGAATTTCGGCAGCTCCGTAATCGTATCGCTTCGTCAAAGTTTCTATAAAAACTAAGCAGTACTCCTACCGGACATAAGAACGGCGCGTTCATCTTATATATAAAATTCTCGTGTCACAATGTTAGTTACCATACTTCTCCGAAACGGCTTGACCAATTTTTATGAAATTTTATATGTATATTCAGTAGGTATGAGAATCGCTACTATCTATATTTAATACCTTTAAGTGATAAGGATTGTCCACCTCCAAAATGTTTTTATATGTTTTGAACATTTTTTTTTATAAAGAAAATTGTACCATCCTTCTACCACCAGCCCCTATTTTTATGGTGGTACGAAGTTCGCTGGGTCAGCTAGTAAAATATATATTTTTATTGAATACAAATAATAAAAAGGAAAAACTCACGCTAAAGAGGGACGATGATCCGTTTGTATAGTTGTTGGTCGACAGTGGGGGCAATGGAGTCGAATACGCGTTTGTAGGAAGACGACCACCACTGCAAAGATCGAAGAGGACATTGAAAATCATCAATCAAAGTATTGTGGTTTGTAGTCAACGATATTAAATACCCTAGATACACCAATACGAACAAAATCGTGCCCGAAACCTGTCCAAAAGGTACATTGAACGATCTCCGTAAGATGATCGCGTAGATCAAAATCAATATTATAAGGCATTATTTAAATATTGAAATTAACCTATAATAGATACTGTATAAGGTCTTAATTAAAACGCATGCGTCAAGGACTTCCGACAGTTCGAAATGCAAGCTCGTAAAATTTTACGTCTTATTGCTATATGCGGAAGAATTTAGACTTTAGTTCTTTGACTCTACGCGCAATTCTGAACACGCTGTTAGCAATATAGCAGGCACGGACCGCGAGGAAAAGAGACGGCTTTATGGCGACGCATAACCGACCATGCATTTGAACATCACAAAAATTTATATTAAATCAGTTTATAGTAGGTATTACATCAAAATTTGCTTCAAATGCGTTCAATTAACAAACATTGACTAGATACCCGTCTAAAAAACGACACTTCGTATTCTAAGTATTATTTTCGCATTTTTTCGCGGAGCTCTGTGGCATCTTGACTTTGTAACGGTCCGCGCGTGACTGTGAACCAAGAAGTGCTTCAGTGGAGATCAAGCACTTCTTAAATTGGGACCCATTTTGAGCGCTTGTGGTGTATCTAGTGTATTTAATATCGTTGTTTAGTATTAGTACCTACTTCACCTTACTATCTTGCTTAGAAGATTTATATGTGTGATTATAATTACAAAAATAATAGGCAAATGGTTTATTTCTATGCACATTATTTATAGTATAGGGGAGCCTAAGCCCCTGTTTTTGGATTAACTTTTTTTTGTAGTCCTAGACGTTCGGCTCCGCATAGAGTGTTCAGGTTTGGTGGAAGTACATTACAAGGTATAAGGCCCCCTTACTCAGCCGCCCTCAATTCGAGTAAATCCAAAAATCCCACATCGGCTCCCCTATTACTTTTGTCTCTTTTTAAGAAAAATGCGGAACTACGTGTAATTTTATCGTTTTCTCGACCATGTAGATACTTTATCGGCCAGTTACAATAATCAAGAAGGTCTAGTCAAAAATAAGCCTATATAAGATGTGTTGCTTTGTTCATATCTAGATTATAATAACAACTATAGCTAAGATACGGAACTAGACCATACCTTTTGATGGTGGTTAATTTATTGAAACTGGCCGTAAATGAAATCCCTGCTAGTCCAACGATTTTATTACGTGGATTGCTACTCACGGAGGCACGGTGACGGGGTCCAGATTGGGCGCGGGCGGATTCTGACGAGCCACCAACTTCGCGTGGATGTCGCAGTATAGTTTGCCGTTGAGGTTGTAGTAACCCTGGTTCTTCAGCGAGGTACCGCAAGTCGAGCACTTGAAGCATTCCACGTGCAAGTTCTTATCCTTGATGCGCACGAACACACCGCTACAGGAAATAACATCCTTTTAAAATTTCCTTATGAAGCATATAAGATTGGATAAACGATCTCAGATAAACTTAATAGAACAAT